ATATAGCAGCTACTCAGCCCATTTTCTTTTAAAAATCTCTTGGGGCTACACAGGACCGAAAAAAATCGATAGCTTCTTTTTTATGAGTAGATTTTTGGACGTCCCAAAAGCCGTTATAATAATGAACTTCACTAATCCCTCAAAGAAAAAAACGACAAAGTTTACAAAATTGAATTTCTAAAACAACTGAAGCAAAATTCAGACTGAGTATTGCTATGGAAGAATGCTTGCGCTATTTTGTGGGAAACTAGGTCGGTTCGGCAGAAAATGGAAAACATTAACAAAATAAATAAGAATCGAATACGTAATAATAATTCATCTTGACCATTTTAAAACGAAAAATCTATTGAAATATTCTCTAAAAGATAAAACTGACCATGTGGTCTATACTGCAACGTAAGCGTTACAGGATTCTGAGCATTCTTCAGCGCCTCAGCAGCTTGCGAATGAGTTGCATTGCGAAGTGAACGTCCATTTACTTCCAGCAGAACATCACCCTAAAACCAGGGCTAAAGTACAGAAAAAAAGAAAAAGAGAATATCAAGAAAATATGATTTAGTGCAAAGATCACCTTTCTAACATTTCCACTCAAATCTGCAACACCTCCTGGCAATACGTAACTGATATAGATTGGCTCATTATCCTCACCGCCAACAATATTGAAGCCAAGGCCCTAAAGATAAATTCTGAAGATATTTTAGCTTCTGATAGGACAGCCCTTTCCAATTTAGAGGCCCTCTCTCCTCTCTGAGGAGTCCAGGAGAGAGCCTAAAAACCAAAAACTATTTAGAAAAAGAGACGAAACGGAGTATAATGAATCCTTGTTTTACTCTTTTGCGACGTTCGAAAGAAATATGCTAACAAAGGGAAATTCGATAAAAATTACCTGATTTCCTCTATAAAGCGGTACAGGTCTTGGATCCATAGTTATTGGCACTTGGACTGGCCCACCGACTGGTGCTTGTCCACCGTAGGCTAAAGCCGTCTGCGAGTCAAATGAACGATTGAAATCTTGCATCGAGCTAGCTGAAATCAAATCCATTTCTTTTTTCTAGTATCAAACAGTTGCTCTTCTCCCATCACCATAAATCAAATCAAACACATACATCTCACGGGTGTTGAAACTGGATACTGAGGGGTGGTCGAGACAAACTGGCGACTTCCTGTTTCTTCAACTGTTCCAACGCTAACATTCGGATCGGCTTTGAGTACTAACAATGACACTTTGGTTCCAGTTTGTTTTAGAACATTGACAGCATACTCATGGGTCACATTTTCCAAAACAACATCGTCAACCTAAATAAATCGAAAATAGTATCAAATGAACCTAAATAGGTCAGGAAATAGACAATTTCAAGACAAGCAAAACTTACAGCGAGAATACGATCTCC